ACCTATACCACAGTGATTAATGTATAATACTAGCCTATGAACCCTTTACCAGTGTGAGTAATGTAGAATATCAGCTATGACCGAAGCTCCATTGTGGGTTATGTAGAATATCAACCTATGAACCCTCTAAAACTTTCGGTAATGTAGGATATCAGCTATGAACTCAGCTCCACTGTGAGTAATGTAGAATATCAGCCTATGAACCCTATTCTACTGTGAGTAATGTAGCATATCATCCAATGAACTCACCTCCACTGTGGGTAGTGTAAAATATCAATCTATGAACCCTATACCACTGTAGATAATGTCGAATATCAACATATGAACTCAGCTCCACTGTGGGTTATGTAGAATATCAGTATATGAACCCTATACTGCTGTGGGTATTATAGATTATTAACCTATGAATCCTATACAACTGTGAGTAATGTGGAATATCACCATGTGAACCCCATACCACTGCAGGTAATGTCGAATGTCAACCTATTAACTCATCTCTAATGGTGTTAAGTAGAATACCAGTCTATGAGCACTATATCACTGTGAGTAATGTAAAATATCAACCTATGAACTCAGCTCCACTGTGGGTAATGTAGAATACCAACCTATGAACCCTATACCACTGTAGGTAATGTAGAACTCAGCTATGAACTCAGCTCAACTGTGGGTAATGTAGAATATCAACCTATGAACCCTATACTGCTGTGGGTATTGTAGAATATCAACCTTTGAACTTAGCTCCACTGTTAGTAATGTAAGATATCAGCCTATGAACTCTATACCATTGTGAGTAATGTAGAATATTATAATATAATATATATAATATAATATATTATAATATAACTGTAGGTTATGTAGAATATCAAACTACGTAGTTAGTTCCCTTTTGGGTAATGTAGAATAATAACCTAAACTCAGCTCTACTGTGAGTTATGTAGAATATCAGCATACGAACTCAGCTCCACTGTGAGTGATGTAGAATATCAGCCTATGAACCTTATACCACTGTGACTAATATGGAATATCAACTATGAACTCATCTCCACTGTGGGTTATGTAGAATATCAAACTATGTAGTCAGTTCCCCTGTGGGTAATGTAGAATATCAACTTATGAACTCAGCTCCACCGTGTGTTATGTATAATATTAGCCTGTTAACCCAATACTATCTTGAGTAATGTAGAATATCAACCTATGAAATTTATACCACTGTGGGTAAAGTAGAATATCAACCTATGAACTCAGCTCCACTATGAGTAATGTAGAATATCAGCCTATGAACCCTATACCACTGTCATTAATTCATAATTCCAGACTATGAACCCTTTACCACTGTGGTCACAAGTAAATAGACACCTAATTTATCGTCATTTAACTGAGTTATGCTAACTAATTTGTGTTCACAGAGTGCTATATAAATGAAAATGGTCCGCACACTAATTATCTTGTGCTACAACATGCCTAGAACTCAAGGTTCTCTCGAATTGTCAGATTTTGTTAGAGGAAGGATAGTTGGTCAAGCAGATGGTGGAATAAGTCAGCGGCAAATTTCGCAGAATTGGGGAATACCGCTTTCGACTGTCAACAGAATCATCGTGCAGTTCAGGAAACACAGCAACGAAACAACTGAGCAGCGTCCGGGTCGTTCTGGTCCATCGGAGAGGACAAAAAGGGCTGTCAAGAGGAGCATCGAAATGGATCCCAGATTAACGACTGCAGAAGTTGCCAAAGTTGGTGGGATGAGCCCGAAATCTATTCAACGGATTCTCCACAGATTGGATTATCGTTGCAGATCAGCTAGACGAAAGCCCTTATTAAGACCTGCCAACATAATCAGACGAAAGAAGTGGGCAAGTGATACGATGACCAAGCCTCTGGACTTTTGGAAGACCGTATTGCTCTCAGACGAATCAAGATTCGCTCATATTTCGGACAGTGGAAAGGATATGGGTCTGGTGAATGCCTCACCAAGAGTTTTGGCTCAACAGATTGCGGCCAACTGTAATACATGGTGGTTTCAGCGTGATGATTTGGGGATCTGTTTGGGTTGGTGGGAGATCGAGCTTAGTGGAGTGCGTTGGCAACATAAATTCTGCGAAATACGTCGAAATATTGGAGAAAGGAATCTTGCCACTTTATTCCCCGGGTTTCTTGGACAATAAACCAAAGTTGTTCCAGGTGTATGGACAACCGTGT